CTTTTTAGTAAAAAAAAAAAAATCCAAATTAGTTTTATAACCAAAAATTATAATTTTTAAACATTTTTTTTTTACATTTTTATTTTATTTTTTTATATCACTATTTTTTTTTTTTTTTTACATACTGTCACCCTAGCAGTACAGTGTCACCATGGTGACACTGTACTACTTGTGGGGGGTGATGAGGAATTTTTTTTTTTTACACTGATTGCTTTTACACCCATATAGGCTGTAAAAGCAATCATTTCTCTTTCTCTCTGTCTGCATTCTTGCACTCATTGAGAAGCACTGAGTGAGCTGTGATTGGTCACAGCTTGTCACATGGTACAAGGCTGTTGTGAATAGTCTTGTACCATGTGACCTCTGTGATCATTCACAGATTTCACACGTAGTAAGCAATGATGTCACAAGTGACATCTTGCTTACTACTTTGCATGTGATCACTGATTGGCCAATCAGTGATCACATGATCGAGACCTCGTACAGAGGTCCCGTCCGACGATCGGTGTTTCACTGTGTCCGGAGGACACAGCGGGCACCGGATCGCGGTGCTGCGCGCTCCCAGGGAGCGCGCACAAGCAGGGTGCAGGGAGGCTGTTTATAAATGGCCACCCGACCCTGCACTGCCACCGTCCTGCCGTTTATATGCAACGGCCGGTCGGGAAGTGGTTAAAGCCCCATACACGATCAGAAAATCGCATGAAAAATTCTGCTTTCAAAGCGATCGTACGATAATCTGATAGTTAGTAGACAGCAATCGTCTGACATTTTTGAAGTGATAAGTATGAAAATGTTTCTCGTGCAATACCAGATCATAGGATTTTCATTTAACCAGTACAGTTTTCATCTGAAAACACAATACAAATACATTACAATACATGACATCACTTCTGAATTTTTATTCTGTCGTACAAGAATTTTCGTAACTTTACTAACCTCTTCACTTTCGATATAAGGCTAGCATGCAAAAAAAGGACAAATCATTTGTTCAATATTCTCAACATGTATACGGGCTTAACAGGTAAGATGTGGAAGAAGAGGGAAGAGAGAGAGAGGGAAGGGGAAAGGGGTAGTAAGAAAGAGAGGAATAGGCAATGACAGAGGAAGGGGCAGTGAGAGAGTAAAATACAGGAGAGATGCCGCACAATTTTATTGATAAAAAAATTTACTCAACAAAGCATATAAGCAATCTCAAAACGCATACACAAGAGCAAGTGAGCAATGGTTTTGGCCATGTCCACCATGTTTCAAGTTGAGCAGTTTAACACCAATACATGTAATCGGATATCGTATGTACTTCCAGCGCCTCAGGATATGCACAGCCAAAAGGGAAGCCAAGGGTACCAGGACAGCGACAACCAGAGGAAATGTTCCAGGGGTGCAGCCCTCCTCAGACGGGGAAATCAGCCACATGGATAGAGAGAAAACAGGTGGCGCACACACCTAGTGCATTATCCAAGGTTTATTGTAGGAATGGAATAATAAAAACATACTCACAGACGAAGCATGTATCTAAAAAGCATAGAAAAATGACAATGGCCACAACAGCGGGCAAGGTGTTCTCACTGTCATTGCGGTCAAATGTCTGACGCGTTTCGGGGACGAATTCCTTTCCTCAGAGCTGATGACCAACCTCTGATGCTGATGTATGGTGTATGGACAGAGAGAGCCTCACTGTTGATGCCTCCTGTTGATGTTTTCTCTCTAACCAATACATGTAAGTATTCTCATCACCTATAACTGCACGGAACAGGGAAAACATCCACAACATTGCCAAGTAACCAGCATAAAAAACAATGTCCATTAGAATGCTATAAGCTCATTCAGAAAGCTTTAACAAAAAGGTTAGGCACTCTAGTTTAACCCACACAACTGTAATTTTCACATCTCTCTCACTTTTTTGGAAAAAAAATATACTTATTCTAGTGAGCTTTGTGAATTGAGACTACTGGAACCAAAAAGAAACACAATATAAAAATCAAGAGGTTTCTACAGTCCCTCAGTGTGATCAAGAGAGAAATAAACAAAAAGATCTGACAGGTCTTGCAGAGGCTATGTAATCTGTAATAAACATAAAATAGAACAATCGTAATGTCTTAGATCAGTGGTTCTCAACCTTCCTAATGCCGTGACCCTTTAATAAAGTTTCCCCCCAACCATAAAATTATTTACCCAGTAATTATAATTCATGAGTGTCGTTTTACCTCCAATACTGCTGCTTTCAACACAGTAGCTGCTTTTAACAGAGTAGCTGCTTTCAACACAACAGCTGCTTTCTACACAGTAGCTGCTCTTTACACATCGGAAATATGTGTTTTCTGATGGTCTTAGGGGACCCCTGTGAAAGGGTCGTTCGACCCCCAAAGGGGTCGCGACCCACAGGTTGAGAACCTGTTTCAACACAGTAGCTGCTTTTAACAGATTAGCTGCTTTCAACACAGCAGCTGCTTTCTACACAGTAGCTGCTCTTTACACATCGGAAATATGTGTTTTCTGATGGTCTTAGGGGACCCCTGTGAAAGGGTCGTTCGACCCCCAAAGGGGTCACCACCCACAGGTTGAGAACCACTGTCCTAGATTGTAAGCTCGAAAGAGTGGGCCCTCTCGAACCCCTCATGTATTGTATTGTTACTGTATTGTCTCGTGTTCTGTCCCCCACTATACTGTACAGCGCTGAGCAAACCTTTCTAGCGCTATATAAATACTGTATAATAATAGTAATGTAGAAAAATCACATATCCTGTCATCTACCCACCCTTAATCTACCTCATCCATTCATAGAACACATGAAAGATTACAAGGTTTTTTTGTAAATGGATGAGGGGAGAGGAAGGGAAGTCAATGAAACATACAGTATACATTTATATCATACTGAGTTTTAGGCTGAGATGCATGGGGGTGCCATTCAGCATGAATGGCAGCCCCAAGCATCTCGCAAGAGCAGTGCGATTCAGCTGCGGGTGTGATACCTTCAGAATCCAACCATTTATATCATACATATATATAAAAATAAAAGCTTTCCATGACCATATTGGGTCAATGACATCACCCAGGCTTGCCAGCATTGTATTCACATTACCACAGCGCCCTGGATCCTTCATTTAGCTACATGGTCCTATGGACATAATGCATCAAACCACACAGCACTGAACACATATAACCATTTTTTGAGGGGAAGGGGGGTTCTATTTTTTTATTTTACCCAAAGGAAAATTATTATGAACAGAAGGGAAATTATGAACAGAAGTTTCCTTTTCATTCACGTTATCTGTATTTATGGCCCTGGTCTGTGTATTGTGACCATTGGAACAGACAGCTTGTCTGCTCACACTTGTTTCTGATTTGATTGATTAGTATATTGTGCATACATACATATATAGTCCAACATTCTGAATATTTGCTCATTTTGGGGGTGATTGACTAAAGGCAAACAGATTGTTCACTTTACAATAGAAGTTGTAAGAGAATTATCACAAAAGTTTAGTGAATGAGGTGAAGCGGTTTTTTATTTTTCTTGCTCATGACTGCGTATTTTTACAAAGTTCAAATACACCACATTCATTTTGCTCTGGGAAAAATCCCCTTGCACAGTACAGCTTCTCTTGGAAAGTAAACAGACTATTTGCATTCAGTAATGCCTGATTCATACTGTGGGGTTGATTTACTAAAGGCAAATAGACTGTGCAGTTACATTCTGCAAGTGCCGTGGCTCCAGAGCCTAGTAAATGAGGTAAAGATTCACTTTGCAATGAATATCCAATCATGTACAAGGAAAATAAAAAAAACAGGATTTTTGCTTGCAAACGATTGGATGATGGAAGTCAGCAGAGCTTCTGCTCATTTACTAGGCCCTGGAGCAATTGCTCTTGCAGGTTGAAATTAAACTTTGCAAAGTGCACAGTCTATTTGCCTTTAGTAAATCAACCCCTGTGTGTTACTATTGCGGGAATCACAGCCATGATTACCCGCAGCTGAATCGCACTGATCTTGCGAGATGCTTGGGGCTGCCATTCATTCTGAATGACTCCCCCATGCATCTCAGCCTGCAACGCAATCAGTTGAGGGAACTGTGGGGAAACTGCATGGTCAAAAAGACCCTGCAGAGGTACGGAATTTTTAAAAAGGTACATGCACCTTTTTTTTGGGTTTCACAAGGCACAGCAGCCCATTCAAATGAATGAACTGCTGTGCCTGAGCAAATGTGGGCCGCAAGGCCTACTCTAGTATGAACCAGACCCTAATCAACATTGATTCTGTCTCAGTTGTGTCATCAATGAGGGCTGCAGCCCGGAATTGGCAGCTGCCAACCCTTAATCCACTATTAGGAGCTTTGGCAAAGACCAGGTATACTCAGGTCCTCACAATGGGTCATTCTCACATACTGGACACAATCTCCTGTGTGACTCCTCTGTGTCTGTTTGTATATTATACCTGTAGTTGGCTAGCCTCTGCCTATTTCCATGGTTCTGACTCCTACTCTTGGTTGACTTCTTCTTTTGACATTTTTCCATCAGCACCTTGGATTATCTATTGGCTTTTAAATGTGAACAGACGTATGTTTTCTCTCAATATTACAGCAGCAATTGCACAACCCTATAACCAGTGCTGTAACATGGGGCAAATAAAGCATTGCACCCATAAATCCCTGCTTCTCTTCCACCAGTACAATATTGAACCCCCCAAGTGCATAAAGTAAGAAAATACTAATGTAATGAAACTAAAATGCATTTAATTCTACTGTAATCAAATTTATTTAACTATTTGCCAACCGCAGATAGCCGAATGACGGCTACACTGCAGCCAGCCAGTTTTGGGAGGGCGTCATATGACGTCCTCCCAGAACGCGCTCTCCAGTGCACCCCCGGGGCACGCCTCCTGGCGATCTCTGTGAACGCTGTGTCCTACGGACACAGCTGATCACGTGATGTGGTAAAAGGCCAATCACAGCGGCCTTTTCCCATGTGATCAGCCATGTCCAATGACACGCTGATCATCGGGAAATGCAATTGCCGGTTCTCGGCTGCACTTTCCTCACGCTGTCAGAGCATGAGGCAAGTACTGCCGAGAACCGGCAGTTGTCAGAGCGGGGATCGGCACCGATCATCAGGGCACTGATGATCGGTGCCCAGCAGTGCCACCCACCAGTTCCGCCCACCTGTGCCCAGCAGTGCGCCCACCTGTGCCCAGCAGTGCGCCCACCTGTGCCACCCACCTGTGGCCACACACCTGTGCCCAGAAGTGCCACCCACCTGTGGCCACCCACCTGTGCCCAGAAGTGCCACCCACCTGTGCCCACCTGTGGCCACCCACCTGTGCCCAGAAGTGCCACCCACCTGTGGCCACCCACCTGTGCCCACCAGTGCCACCCACCAGTGCTCATCAGTGCAGCTCAGCAGTGCTGCCAGTCAGTTCCACCAGTCAGTGTCAGTTGTGTCAGTCAGTGCCCAGAAGTTGCGCCAGTCAATGCCTAGCATTGCTGCCAGTCAGTGCCCAGCAATGATGCCAGTCAGTGCCGCCTATCAGTGCTGCCTATCAGTGCCCATCAGTGCTGCTGCCTATCAGTGCTGCCTATTAGTGCCCATCAGTGCTGTCTCATCAACGCACATCAGTGAAGGAGAAAAATTACCTGCTTGAAAAATTTTATAATAGAAACAAAGAAACTTTTTTTTTTTCAACTTTTTGCAATTTTTTTGTTTATAGCGCAAAAAAGTAAAGTGCCCAGCGGTGATTAAATACCACCAAAAGAAAGCTCTATTTGTGAAAAAAAAATGATAAAAATTTCATATGGGTACAATCTTGCATGACCACACAATTGTCAATCATTTTTTTTTTACTGGATATGTTTTATAGCAAAAAGTCAAAAATATGATTTTTATTTTTTTTCAAAATTGTCAGTCTTTTTTTGTTTATAGCGCAAAAAATAAAGACCTCACAGGTGATCAAATACCACCAAAAGAAAGCTGTGGGGAAAAGAGGATGGAAATTTAATTTGGAGGCAGCGTTGCATAACCGTGCAATTGTCAGTTAACCTCCCTAGCGGTATTCCCGAGTGTAGCTCGGGGTAAAGTTTCTGTACCAAAAGCGGTAACCCCGAGCTACACTCGAGCTTACCATGTGGCGCTGCATAGGGAGTCCCTGCAGAGCTTATCTTGTCCTTTGCTCCCGCGATGTGTCGCCTGCAGTGTCCCCGGCCATCTCCTCCGGCCGATGCCGGCATCCGGCTTCTGTGTTCCGGTCCCTGTGATGTCGGTACGTACGGGCGCCGCCGGCGGGAAATTTGAAAATGTAAAAAAAAATTCATTTTTTTCAAAATGAATTTTACATAGTAAAACATTGCTCTTTCAAACCATTTCACATACATTTTTTCCCGAGTGCTTTGTCCTGTCCCCTGCCTGCATTTTTACTGTTCTTTCTGCCTAGAAACTGAGAAACGTCCATGGCGTCCAAAAAGCGTCCCTTTAGGTCAAAAGCGGGTTTAGATCAGCTAGAGAACAGCGATAGTAAATCAGAACCACTTGCAGAATTGAGTGATAATGATTTGTGGGGGAAATTCGTCATCAGACACTGAAAACAATTTTGCGACTTTGCTTAGTGATGTGCGAACTTGGCGCTCTATTTCAAATTTCAATGTTTTTGGTTTGATTATATTATTGAATTAAATGTATTATTATTATATTATTATTTTTTATGATTATTTATTAAATTATAATTTATGATTTTGTGTTTCAAATTTTATCCTACCCGGGATGTTTAATAGACTCTTGTTCGGACAGATTTCAGTGAGTTATTCCTAAAAATTACAGCCTACAATAAAAAAACTACATATTTCCATCCAAAATAATGGTACCGCTTTCAGCACCAAAAATCTGAAATAATCATACCGCCAGGGAGGTTAAAGTGACACAGCGTCGTATCGCCAAAAATGGTCTGGTCAGGAAGGAGAATAAATCCTCTGGAGGGCAAGTGGTTAAAGAAAAAATGTGATTGTTAATATTTGACTATAAACAAGTTCCTTGTACTAATACCCCTTTATCTAGGAGGAAGCTGTATGCAGAGACCATGAAACATGTCAGCATAAAAAGTGAAGCTCTTTCAGCCTTCATTATCACTGGAGAAATCCCATGTAAGATCCAGAATGCAATGAAAAATGCTTGTGTATAGGAACATATATAGAATAATGGAGGAAATAAGTGCTGTACAAATGAGGGATAGATTTTTTTTTAAATGTCTTATATTGTTTACATTTTTGGATAATAAAATACATTTGCTGTTAACCTCTATGTATACAAGAAGCAAGTGACTCTTACAAATTCCAGTACAAAATATTTTGGATAATGACAAGTTGAACTTTATTTAGGAGTGACTGAGGAGTGCATAAAAATACTGTTAGCCTCCTAGCGCTGAAATAAACTTTTAATAACCACTTGAAATATTCACAACATAGGAATAACATTTTATTCATTCCAGAAACATGTTCAAGAAAACAACTGTGTTCCAAGGAACAAATTGAAATACCACCAAAAGAAAGCTCTATTTGTGAGAAAAAAATGATCAAAATTTCATATGGGTACAATGTTGCATGACCGTGCAATTGTCAATCAAAGTGCGGCAGTGCTGAAAGCTGAAAATTGGCCTGGTAAACAAGGGGGTATAAGTGCCTGGTAGGCAAGTGGTTAACATGTATTATTAATTTCTCACACTGATTGCTTGGCTGGACAATTTTGATCAGTGTATGGCAAGCTAAAGAAACCAATGAGCAGGAGAGCAGGCATCTGAACTCCCAAGATTAAAGATCAGTGGCACAGACAACTGAATAGTAATGGTGTCTTTACACAAACATTTGTGTTGAGTTTTATAAAATTACAGAACTATTTTAAAGTAGTAGGAAAAAGAATTCCAAGTACGCACCTAAAATTTGTTAAAACGTGAAATTAGAAATCTGTTTTCTTTTTGCAATAACCAGAAACTAGGGTCATTATCAGCTGCTTAACATCTCATCACAAAATAATATTTTCTCTGGTCTTTCAGGGCAGTAAGTTTCCAGTGACCATCACTAAGAACTATATTATAGCCAAACTAAAACATACTTGTCATAGCAAACACATATACACATCTAATCAAGTTTACAATGATAAAAAGTATATAGATACTGTACCTGGAATTGTTTAGTGTAGATATATCAGCAGTCCCTTGTTCTTCTGACCTGTCTGTGATTCTTCCAACTGACTGAGCTCTGTCTCACTTTAAATACAATTTACCCCTACTCACCAACATGGGGTGGATTTAGATTTGCTAAGACGTACGACCATCTGTCCGCCAACTGAAGCTCCGCAGAGGATGGGTGATGCAACAGGACAATGACCCAAAGCATACAAGTAATTCAACAAAACAATGGCTGCAACAGCACAGAATACGCCTTCTGGAGTGGCCCAGTCAGAGTCCTGACCTCAACCCCATTGAAATGCTGTGGCATGACCTTAAGAGAGCGATTCACACCAGACATCCCAAGAATATTGCTACACTGAAACAGTTTTGTGAAGAGGAGTGGTCCAAAATGACTCCAGATCGTTGTGCAGGTCTGATCTGCAACTACAGGAAACGTTTGGTTGAGGTTAGGGTCAACCAGTTATTAAGTCCAAAGGTTCACATACTTTTTCCTCCCTGCACTGTGAATGTTTACATGTTATGTGCAATTAAACCATGGCAACATCTAATGTTTGTGTAGTATTATGTTCAGCAGACTGTGTTCTTCTATTGTTGTGACTTAGATGAGGTTCAGAGTACATTTTATGCCCAATTCATGCAAAACTCCACGTAATCCCAAGGGGTTCACATACTTTTTCTTGCAACTGTATAAGTACAGTTCTAGATTAGTTTCTAACAGATACCCCCCAAAATTAAAGAACAAAATCAAATGAGACAAACTACTTTATACAATTCAGCAAGCTTCAGCTCTTACCTTGATATTACAGTTGTATCTTACACCATTACTAATCAAGATTTTCAAGTTTTATTTTTTGCAACGATTGCTTGGGGACAGCGTGCCAAGTGTCCCTTTAACAACCAAATACACATCTTCTGGTTATTACACACAGTTACTCTTACGTTGGCCATAGAAGGATAGAAATTCAACCCGTTCAGCAAGGAGCAGCCAAATTTCCATCCATCTATGTCCAATCCCACTTGAGAGAAGTTGATCTAATGACCGATTTATCTCAAATGGGACTGTTGGAAAACTTTAATTCATTCATGGCCACCAGCCAATCAGCTGCAATATTGATTCATGTATTCTAACTGTGGAGAATTCACAGCTATCCAAATACAATAGTACAGTGGGGAGGATTCCCCTATCCACTTCACTTGTGTGGATAGAGGAATCCCTTTGTGTTTTTGTTTTTTTCAATCAGCCTACCAACTGATAAAAAAAGGTCTGTGTATGGCCAGACTTAATATTTTCAGTGATTACCGAGCATCTCCGATAGGGAGGAGGACTGTTTTGTTTACTGTCTTCCCTGTCAGCTCAGGCACGCTGCTCTGGATGGCTGTCTTACAGAGATACACCAACACATCGCCCCCTAGTAAAACACTCCCTGTACACAGTTAATCCTTTGATTACTGCTCATGGTAACTAATTCCTTCCCAGTGCCATTAGTAAAGTGTCAGTACTTTTTTCTTTTTTAGCACTGAGCACTGTTTTGGTGTCACTGGGGATGTCAGTGACACTAAGTCAGTTCCCCCCAGTGTCAGAATGTCCGCTACATTCCCGCTATACGTCGCTGATTGCTGCCATTACTGTCAGGGATACGGGTGTGACCAGAAGTGTGTGGACTGACACAGGGAAACGTAGGCTTCAGATATAGTAAATAATATAATTTATTGAGACTAACAATACAAACATAAACGCAGTGCACCAAACCCCAAGCTAACACAAATACATACAACAAGGTGAAACAAACCCAAACCTAAACTGATACAGATACACAGGTACATACACATATAGAGCACAACGTAGTCAGGCAGGCCGGGTCGATAACTATCGGGCAGGTAAGTACAGGAGGAGCAGGTGGAGAGAATAATCAGGGTCACAAGCCAGGGATCAAACAGGAGAAGTCAGCAGAGGTCAGGATCAGGCAGGGTCGGCAACAAGTCAGGCAGAAACAGGAACAGGAATGCAGGTTACAAGATACAGGGGCCCATGGAAAAACACACACCAAGGCCCTGACTGTGAGTCTGGCCATTCCTTAAATACAACCCCTGCAATCAGCTTCAGGTGTTTTGGCTGACTGCAGGGGTGAGTCTCTGATTGCTGAAAGCACCCGCTGGCCAGCCCTGGTACTGCAGCCCACAAGGCAGGTGAGTCCCACCGTTATTGGCAAGTCCATTCCTGACAATTACTAGTAGAAAAAAAAATTCCAGTATCTATACCGCCATTTGTAAATGCTATAACTTTCACGTAAACCAATTAATTTACACATATTGAGATTTTTTTAGCAAAGACAT